GTGCTGAGTTCCAGTGTGATCCCTCTCTGAGCTGAAGACAACTGAGGAGGGGGCAGTGACCAGCAAGAGTTGCGGCTGTGGGATGCTTTATGAGAAAGTAGGTGGTGGAATAATTGAGAAGGAAACAGAGCTGTGAAGAAGGTGAGTCACCAGAAACTATGAGAAAGTGGGAAAGACATTGGTGGAGGGACAAAACCAGTCAGCAGGAGGTAGGAGGGGAGAGCAGGCATGTGGGTGTACCTGGCACAGACAGGCAGGGCACACAGGTAAGAATCCCAACTCACTCCTCAAGCCAAGGCCTCAGAGCTGCTGTAGATCCCGGACTTGTTCAATCCCATGTCTGTGAGCCTGGCTCTGCCATTGTTCTCACTCTTCCCAGGTTCCGTGGGTCAGCTTTTCCAGTAAGTCCATCATTACTGGAGACTACTGCAGAGAATTACCAGGTCTTTTGAGTCTGGCTAAATTATATAGCTGCATATCCTCTGGATCACCTTGCATAAATCTTCTCAGGACCATGCTCATGATGGGATCGGACATCTTGACGCTCAAGGTACAACCTCCAGTGGATGAGCACGTGCCCTGTACAGTGCTAATGAAGGGCAGGCACACACATGCCACTGTCAGCAGGGCGAATGCTGTGTGGAGCCACCCCACCTCCAAAGGGAAGCTATGGGGAGATCCCCCAGAGCAGGTAAAGATGACCCTTGGCTATCTTTTCAACCGTATGTATCCTTTCTTTCCAACCAGACTGTAATTGATCCCAAGGCCAGATACCAAGTACATAATCTCATTCAAAAACTTGTTCCCGAGTAAGTATTAATTTGTTTATTGGCATTTAGTGGTGCCTAGGGGTAGAGGGCATGGAACTGGGTTGAATAGTGTCCCCCCTCAAAACTCATGTCTACTGGAACTTCATAATGTGACCTTATTAGAAAGAGGATCTTTGTAGATGTAATTAGTTAAAAGAAGTCACACTGAATTAAGGTGGGTCCCAATCCAATGACTGGAGTCCTTATAAAAAGAGAAAACAGAGACAGAGAGACACACGAGGGAAGATAGTCATGTGAAGACAGAGGAAGGAATTGGATTGATATAGTCATCTAACAAGGGATTCCAGCAATTGCTGGCAACCACCAGAAACTGGTAAGAGAAAAGGAAGGATTCTTCCCTGGAGTCTTCAGAGACAACATGATCCTGTTGACACCTTGATTTTGGACGTCGAGGCTTCAAAACTGTGAGAGAAGAGATCCAGTTTGTGGTACTTTGTTACAGCAGTCCTGGAAACTAATATACTCTCAACCGTTTTCCACTAGTGACAAAGAAGTGTGGTTTTGTCACATGGTGTGTTGAAGAACCTGATGGCTGTGAGCTCAGAGATGGAGCACAGGGGCTACCTCAAACAAATAAGCAAGTGAGAAGTCAGATGGCCTCCTGCATATGGGAAACGATTGCAGGTAAACTAGTAAATGCTACCATTTTCATGCATGGGCATTTCGTGGGTAAGAGCTTGGGGATAAGAATTGTAAATGTGCCTACACTGGCCAAATGAAGAATCTAGATGAGAGAGTGAATCTAGGGAAGCCAGCCTCAGCAGGAGACCTCTTTTGGGTACCCAAGTTTCAATTCCTGGCAGTAGGAGTTAATGTGACAGTCACATACTTCTTGCACAAAGTAGCAGGAAACATCTGGATAAGTGAATCAACAAAAAACCTGGTCCAGAAATGAAAAGCAGAAGCTGTGGGAGCCCCTGATTACAACAGCCAGAAGCAAAAGGTTTCTTCCTTCCAGTCTATGCAGGTCCCCAAATAACTCAGGACTAACCATTTATTCAGCATCTACCAGGCACCGGGCATGGTGCTCAGTGCCTTGCCTATGATTTAACCTGCGTTTACTCCTGACAACCACCCTTTGACGCAGACTTCATGAGGGTGGGAAGATGCACAAGGCAATTTCGTTGTGTTACTAGGATAATTTACTCAGCCTTATCTCTGCGGCCAACACTATAGTAAGGTAAAAGGGAACTGAAATAGCAATAAAATACCTGGCCTAGCCCACAATGAACTTGCCATAATAATACATCCTTTACTGAATTTATTCTAGAGAAGAAAAATGTTTCATTCAACCTTTATTATTCAACTTTGGAATTTGTTCCTGGCAAGTCAGTTTTTTTTTTTTTTTTAGAGATAGGGTCTTACTCTGTTGCCTGGAAAAAAATGCAGTGATGTCATCATAGCTCACTGCAACCTCACACTCCCTACCTCAGATCTTCCTCCTGCCTAGGCCTCCCAAAGAGCTAGGATTATAGGCATGAGCCCCAAAGAGCTAGGATTACAGGCATGAGCCACGGCCCAAGTGAGTATTTAAATGCATTTCTATTATGCATTGAATTTAAATACAGGAAAACCTTTTTCTTTTTCTTTGCAAACAGAGAGAAGTAAATTACATCCTAGCGTTCCATAAAACAAACTTGTTTAAAACATCTTTTTAAACTTCTGTGATAAAATTAAATCAAGGACTAATTGAATATGCACAAGAGGGAAAAAATGTTAGTATCAGAAGGGAATTTTTTTCCAGTTGTTTTAATTATGAATTCATCCATTCACATTCAATTTCTTTCCTTTATAAAACCAGGTTAATAATGAATTTCAAGTGGTGAAACTAAGAGGTTAAGCTCTGGATTCATCCATGCCTAAGGCATGTGATTAGAAACACCTGTGATTAAATTCTACAAAACTGAGGCAGAGATCTCGGAATCATTAGATTTGAGTTAGAAGTAATTGAGTTGTTAGTCAGCTCTACTCAGAACCAAATAAAGAGTGTAGCTATTACCCTGGATAGGGAGTGAGCCAGAAATAGTCTAAGCTGACACCCATGTGATCTTAGGTTAATTATTGTTTCCATAGATCGGCTCTCAAAGTAGAAAGTTGAAAATTCCAATGCCTACTCCTTCACAATTCAATAGGATTATACAAAACTGTCAGGAGAAATTAGCTAACATATTAGACATAAAAGCAAGCTGAAGTCTTAGCAGAGAAGAAACTACAGAGCATCTGTCAAAGGCACAATTCTGAAGACACATGGGCAAGACAGTTCCTTTGCATTTAGTGTAAACTATCTAATATTCCATAAACTGGTTCCTCTTATTTGCACATAAGCTGGTTGGAATGAAATTAGATTGCTATCTCCTCATGTTTTAATCATTCTTTCCACACAACTTCCTCCTCCTGTGTTATTTACATTCAGTTTCCTGCTCTGTGTATCATTTCTGGAATATCGATTTGAATCAAGGAAATGGACATCTGATGGGGTAGTTGACACGTGATTCAAAATAAAAAGAAAAGAACAGAAAGATATCCCAAATTGATTTGAAAAATTGTTCTCTTGACTTTCCTTAGCTGAAGAAAAAAAAATTATTGCTAAGGAAATGATCCCCTCCCCCCACACACCCTAACTGTGCCATGTAGTTCATGAATGTCCTCTTAAATCACATGAGTCATCAGCAGAGAGCACCTTGGAGCCCCAGAGGACAGTAACGGCATTCTGCCCGGGGTCACAGCAAACCCAGTGAGGCTAAGTTTCCAAGATGCTGGCCAGAGAAATACCAGGAAAGGAAGGAATAAGATCACATTAGTCCCTAAGTAATTTGCATGGTTTGATTTATGATGAGGAAAGAAAATAAAGGTCATTTCCTCTACTAAGATCTCAATAAACAATATGTTTAGAACCAGGTAATAATGAAAAGGAAAAAAAAAGAGAAGGAAAGTCTCTGTCTAAAATGTAATTTTCAAAATGCTTGCACCCTGTGTGGTTAGCAGAGTAAAGGCTTCCCGAAGATGTCTACATCCTAATCCCCAGAATCTGAGAATATGTCAGGTTACATGGCAAAGGGGAATTAAGATTTCATAGGAAATTAAGATTATTAATCGGTTGACTCCAAGAAGGGGGAGATTACTTTGGATTATCCAGGTGGGCCCAATGTAATCACAAGGGTCCTAAAAGTGGCAGAGAAGCATAAGAGAAGGTCAGAGTGATGTGATGTGAGAAGAACTCAACCTGCTATTGCTGGCTTTGAAGCTGGAGGAAGAGGCCAGGAACCAAGGAATGTGGGTGGCCCTTTTAAACTGGAAAACTCAGGGAAAACAACAGATTTGCTCCTAGAGTCTCCAAAAAGGAAGGCAGACACCTTGATCTCAGCATGAGACTGTGTTGAACTTCTGACCCAAGAACTGTAAGATAATAAATTTGTGCCATGCTAAGCCACCGAGCTTGTGGTAACTTACTATGACAGTGATAAAAAACAAATACACCTGAACCAAAACCTAGACAACTGAAAAGTGAAAAAGAGTCCAATATTAACTATGTCTCCTCCCAAAGAGATCATGCATTTATAGAGGACGGTTTGCCTGGAATGCCTGGGACTGGCCTGCTCGGAGTTGACACTAACACTAGAGCTGAGAGAGCTCAGCTCCCCAGCGTCATCGTTGGTCTGGAAATTGCACTCTCTTGGCTTTTCTTTCAACCACTGGATTAAGGGATGCGTGCTGTGTACTTGTCGGACCAGCTGCGATGTAAAATGGGGCTCAACTCTCATATAGGACACATTTTCGAAATGCTTTTCGCAGAGAAACTCTAGAGGAGGCAAGAAGGAACATCTTTTAAATCTTTAAGTATTTTCATAGTGCCATGAATTAGAAAAAAATGACTCCTGCAGCAGTTTTCCCCTGCCCATATATGTTCTGGCCCCTAAGTTTCTGGTTTGTCCGGTCTCTGGGTCAGTCCCAACATTTAGGACCCTGAGGAACATAACCCAAGATTCCTGAAAGTGCTGGAGGCTGCTTGGAATCCTGTTACACAGGTTTGCTGGCTCATTCCATGGCCTTCTTCAGAGCCATATCCCTTTACCACAGATTATTTCTCTAACTTTGCCACCGAGTCTCCTACCTTTGTAATACTGTCTCTGCCTGTTGTGTGAAATGTCCCAACACTTGCTATGAACATACCGGACATCCAGTGACTGCTGCTAGGTCTATGGCCAGCTCACAGGACTTGATCAAATCCTCTATCATCGCCAAAGCTTGCTGTAGTTCGGCTGAGAATGCTGAATTCTTGGTCCTCTTTGGTCCATCCTGTGGCAGACAAATGCCATGTTGGAAATCAAAAGCATACCATCTACCAGATGGAGAAGAAAAACAGGACAGAGATAAGGCGCTGTGGATCCAGCCAGCACTGACTGAGAAGGTGGGCTTGCACCCTGTGTGGTTAGCAGAGTTGAATCTATCTCCCTGCTCCTAAGGAACTGTGGCTGAAGATATTTGCTGTTTAAGTATATGATATACAGACAAGCAAAATCATCTGCCAAACCTTCTGTACATTATATTTGTGACAAATGAAGTTCATAAAACCATTGACATTATATTCCTGCTATATAAGAAACATAAAGAACTCAGCTTTTTTAAAGCATGAAAAAACTGAGCCCCTTTAAACAGGCTTCTCCCTCATTTATCCCCCTAACCTCCGGGGCTTACTGAAAAATACCATCTGAGTATCATATTCTTACATTTAATGTGAAAGTCTTATTCCTATGGGTAAAATTATACTTAAAACCATCCCAGAAGAGGACATTTGTAAACTCCAATAGAGTTTACATGGAAACTCTCCACATGGAAACAAAAATTTCCTCCAGCCCTCTTTATTTATGATGGCGATCATGATGTTCATGATGATTATGATGATGATAAGAACACTTAACATAAGAGGCACCCTTTCAGCAAATTTTTACATGTGCAATGAAGGTCTGCTAATCATAGCACTATGCTACAGTGTAGCTCTAGGATGTATTCATCTTGCATAATTGAAGCTTTGTACCCTTTGACTAGTGCCACTCATTCCCCTCACCCCAACCTCTGGAAACCATCACAGAGTGTACATGGCTGCCATGTAGACAGGCGCTAATGATGTATGTGTCAAAGCCACAAAGGTCGCATTTCCCACATCGAATTTCCCGTAGCTCTGCCCTTCCTCCCTTTACCAAGCCCTCCTCACATCGCACCACAATTGAAGATGACAAGGAGATAAGCCAACATGCTCTGAAAGAGACCAACGTTCCCATTATTAGACACAGTGACACTTAGGATGCGAGAGGGGTGATCGTTTCAGTTTGAAAGGCTTTTGCTTGGGTTTCTGCATTTTATGCCCCTACTACCCACATGGTGTATTTATCTGGTACCTGATAAATACAAACAAAAAGGTTCTGGTTTATTCCATGTACATATTTTTTAACACTTCAATTTCTACAACAAAGAACAGATAGCTCTTTGCTGCCCCCCATCTAGCCCCACCTCTTTTTGTCCTCTACCGCATGATGTCAAAGGGCTGGGTATTCTCTTAATCTCTGCCGAAAGTATGAGCACCTTTGGGTCAGAGATCTGACTGACAGGGCTGAGGAACGGACCAGACCATGCTGCCTCCAGTGAACATGTGCCAGGGGTTGTAGTTTCCTGAATTCATAGTAAATAAGCTTCAGTTCCTGGTGAAAGACAGCAGACTCTCACCTGAGTTTATTTTAATGTCATCAATAAGGGATCAAAAGTTCTTATATCTTACATTCTTCCTTACCCAACACTTAAAACTCAATTTCCTTTTAGATATGTAGGAGTAATATCTGTTCCTACCCCTTTTCTACCCACTAACCCTCCTCTTACAAACAAACCAGGCAGCTAGTTTTATGGTATATAATGTAGGGCTCAGAAAAATCCTTACAAACATTATTAAACTCCTCTAACTAGAGCTAGCCACCCTTGCTTCAGGCTTTGAAATCATTACCTGTGCCCTGAGCTGCTTCACCCTGAGCAGAGGCAGCATGCAAGTGACTGCTCCTCGACACATGTCTCAAGTTTTTCTTGTTAAAACCAAAACATTTTATAGGAAATTGAAACCAAGCCCCATCACTAAACCACAAATTTCTTCCTAACTTGGCATGGCCACTGCGTCTTCCAAGAGAACCTTGGAGTTTCTCCTAGAATTTTCTCTCTCTCTCTCTCAGAGGATAACAAGGCATAATGTATAAAAGTTAGATATTCTAAGAGGTACAAAGAAGAAAATATAAATCATACATAATCCTACCATTCAGGAAAACCATAGCAGATATTTGATCATATTTGTTTACTTCCAGTCTTTTTATATATATATATATTATTTTTTTCTCTATATATATTATATTGGCCAATTAATTTCTTTCTATTTATAGTAGAGACAGGGTCTCGCTCTTGCTGGTTTCGAACTCCTGACTTCGAGCAATCCGCCCGCCTCGGCCTCCCAGAGTGCTAGGATTACAGGCGTGAGCCACCGCGCCCAGCCCACTTCCAGTCTTTTATGTGTTCATTTTACATATTCAGTTAATTTTGAATTCCCATTAAAATTTTTTATGCGGAAGGAAGAAAATATATTACCACTTCTCACAGGGCTGCAAATCCCTGCTTCAAAATTGCCTTTAATATTTTGTTTTTTCCTGACTATGAATTATAAGACACAATTTTAGAAAACTTAGACAAAAAAAGATCACAAACAAGGAAAATAAAATTGCTATAAATCCTTCCACCCACAGGCAAACACCATTAACAGTTAGTCATATAAAATGTAATATTTAATGTACGGTACCTTAGCCAAGCCTCCTTCTAGGTCACCTGGGTCTATCTTCAAATCTTCAGGAGACTCAAAATCCAGCAGACCCTGCATTAACCCAAAAGCCTTATAGAAAATCAAAAAGTAGACAGCCAACAAAATCTACTTGCAAACAACTTGCAGCTAATGCCAAGCTGACTGAGAATGTATATAAATTTGTAAGAGGAAAAGAGTGAATGATACATACGGCACAGCGTTCTTTCCACAAACAAAGAATCATATTGTATACGTGATTTTGTGGCCTGCTTTTCCTCATTCAACAGTATATCAGGAACATTTTCCCATGACAATGTATTTTTCTAAAATATGGTAGAGTGTTATATAAGTGCAGCTTATAGTTAAACCATAATTGAACTATAGTTATGAATTATGTAATGTCTCCTACTATAAAACATTTAGGTTCAACATTTTTTTTTACTATAGTAATAATAATAATAATTACTTTTGTGGATTTTTCCTGAGGATAAATTCCTAGAAGAGGATTTGTAAAAGTAAAGAATTTTGAGGCATATTTCCAATTTCTTGAGAGAGGAACTGTGTTCCTGGCAGCCTATCTCACTGGCCCCTAGCCTACATGGAGTATTACCATTTAATCAAACATCTTTGCTAATTGAATTGACAGAGAAATCCTACTTCACTGTTGTTTTATTTTTTATTATTATTATTTTTTTCCATTTTCAGTTGGCCAATTAACTTTTTTTTATTATTATTATTTTTAGTAGAGACGGGGTCTCACTCTTGCTCAGGCTGGTCTTGAACTCCTGAGCTCAAACGATCCACCCGCCTTGGCCTCCCAGAGAGCTAGGATTACAGGTGTGAGCCACCGCGCCTGGCCTTCACTGTTGTTTTAATTTGAATTTCTCAGATAACTAGAGATGTAGAACTTTAAAAAATTAGCTATCAGTATTTATTTTTTGTAAACTGCCTATGCTCTTTGTTCATCTTTTTTTCTATTAATTTCTATGAGTTCATTATTAATTAAGCATATTAACCATGTGTCACATATTTTGCTAACATTTCCCCCAGTGTTTCCTGTGTCTTTGTTTTCAGTGGTGTGTAATTTAGCATTCCTTGCCCTTTCTCTTATACTTAGAAAGGATTTCTCACACCAGGATTCCACTCATTTCCAAACCACGAGGCAATGGGTCCAACATGCACGCTCCTTCCAGCCGGTTGATGCGTAGGAGACTGAGCTCCCCCTCTCAGGAAGAGAACACTGCACGGTCCTTCCTTTCTACAGGGGCATACCAATGGCTTGAGCTGGTTTTCAAGCACTAGCAAACTTGGCTATGAAATATCATCCATGGAATATTTCATAGTGATTCTCTTTTTTGTTTCTTCAGTGAAAGGCAGTTCACAAAATTCATCTAAGCGCTTTTAACCTGTATTATCTCATTTCATGCTCCCAACAATAGTACTTACACCTGGATACCTGGATAAGTACTATTATCCATACCTGGATAAGTACTATTATTATCTTAATTCTACAGGTGAGGAGTCTGAGGCTGGGAAAAGTTAAGTAACTTGCGTGAGTTCAGGTAGCCTGGAAGCTCCAGAAGCGAGATCCAGATGCAGGTGTCTAACTCCAGAGTCTGTTTCTAATGCTATGCCTCTATGGCCTTCTGCATATGGCATAGAACCTAGCTCCTTGTAAAGGTCAGCTCTGTGGGAAAACTCGAGCCCAGGCCGATGGAGGGAAGACCACCACGTCTGTCCTGCTCCCTCCTCCCGGGGTCCAGAGATGGGACCTCTAGAGTGAGCATACTGTAAAGACAGGTCGCACAGAGGAACCTAAGTGAATCCTGTATCAAAATATGCTCACAGATGTTGCTCGCAGAGAGAAGCAGATCATTAGTCTCATTCCCATGCTGATGGGACAGACAGTCTTAATGTCTAAGGTGACAGCAACACATCACACAAAGCTCCCTGGGGTCCACGCTGTGCCCAGCTCACTGCATGGATTATTCGCCTGCTTGGTAATAGTCTGATGGAAGAGATTCCACTACCTCATTTTACACAGGAAAACACTAAGGCCCAAGAAGTCAAGGGCCCATAACTGGTAAATAGTAGAGCTGGTACAGTGAGGCTGAAACTGAAACTTCTGATGGAAAGCTGAAAGAACTTTTTGTTTTTTTCCCCAGAGTCAGGGTCTGGCTATGATACTCAGGCTGGCCTTGAACTCCTGGACTGAAGGGATTCTTCCACCTCAGCCTCCCCAGTAGCTGGGACTACAGGTGCACACTAGGGCACCTTGCCTGAAAGAGTAACCTTTTCTGAGGGCAGAATATTGGGCAATGTGCTTAACCTCTCTGAGCCTCGGTTTCTCCACAGTCCAGAGCTTTGCTGGCATGTCTGATCATGGGGATTAAATAAGGAGTAAACAGTAGATGTTTCTTTTTTATTTATTTGTAATTAGGAGACAGTGGCCCCTGGTCAAGAGCTACCTAAATGTCTTATATAGGTTAATTCAAAAGACAACTTCTAGGGGCGGGCCAGACCCTTCCCTCAAGCTCAGGCCTGGGAAAACAGCCTGGATAACCCTTGAGTCCTGCTTGGGGTCTGGGAAGTGCTTGCCTGCAGACGTGCTAGTGGCGATGCCTCACTCACTGCTAAGGAGGGGTAAAGATCAGAGAGAGAGGGAGAACCACTTAGGAGCTCAGATACAACAAAATTCATTGTGTTAAGCTGCTCTCAGGATAAGATCCTAAATCTAAGAGTGGGGGTCAGTGTTGCAAAAGGAGGGAAGACTACAGTTTTGCCACCTTCTTTCCATTGTTTTAATGCACATAAAACAGTAACTTTGGGGAAAATCACACGTCTTCTCTGAAGCTCCTTGCCTCATCTGTAAAATGGGGCAGAGGATATTTCACATGTCTGAGACAGAGGCTCTGGCTGCCTTCCCCACCCTCTTAGCTGCCAGCAGTGTGGCTGTGCCCCCTTCCTCCCATTGTTCCCAAAGAGCTTTCCTTCCCTAAACCAGGCTGCCCTGGGCTGGATGTTGGACTAGCCAATCTCCCAGGTCCCTTCTAACTCAATGACTCAGTGGTTTTACTTCTCATTGAAGACGGCTGACTTAGACTTGGAAGAAAAGAAAAGTCCAACAGATGGACATATCTTTTGCCTTAGAAGACCAAGTTGCAACTCTCTATGTGTAAGGAAAAGAGCACCATACTGCAGGCATCCGTTTTCCCAGCACGGAAAAGCACCATCTCATTGACTTTACCTTGAGCAGCATCTGGTATTTTATAAGTCTCCGGCTTGGTCCTCTAAGATACTTAAAAAGAGGGAGATTGTGATCCAGTTGGCGCTGGCATACCTTTAAAAGCCAAATAGAAACAACATAAAACAAAACAAACAACACAAACACACACAGAACAAAAGTGGCAGAATTCAGATACCAGAAACAAAATGGCTTTTCATGGACAAAAGAGGTGGCTGTGTGAAGCAGTTCCAGAATGTTCTTGAGGTGTTCGGTCCCCCAGAAGCAGTGTGTGAAATGAGAGAAAGAGGAAAGGGGATGGGAAGTTGGACCCTAGTTGGGAAGGGATGGACCCTTCCCAACTAGGGAAGCAGGACCATCTATTCCTTTTAGAAAGCAAGTCCATCAGAAGGCAGTTGGGCATTTAAGACCTTCTGAAAAGGAGGCAGCCTGTTTTCAAGGTGGAGGGGAGCAGGGTCAAGGTCATTTTGAACCTGGAGGGTACAGATGACTTATAGATATCCTTCCAGAGAGCCCCAAAGTATGACCTTTTTTTTTTTTTTTTTTACTTAGTTTCTTTTTCTTTTTTTTTTGAGACAGAGTCTCACTTTCTTGCCTAGACTAGATTGAGTGCCGTGGCGTCAGCCTAACTCACAGCAACCTCAAACTCCTGGGCTCAAGCGATCCTCCTGCCTCAGCCTCCCGAGTAGCTGGGACTACAGGCACGAGCCACCATGCCCGGCTGATTTTTATATTATATATATTAGTTGGCCAATTAATTTCTTTCTATTTTTATGGTAGAGACGGGGTCTCGCTCAGGCTGGTTTTGAACTCCTGACCTTGAGCAATCCGCCCGCCTCGGCCTCCCAGAGTGCTAGGATTACAGGCGTGAGCCACCAAGCCCGGCCCTTAGTTTCATTTTTAAAACCCATCCTTGAAGAGGATGATGGTTTTCTCACCAGACTACAGCTGTTCCTCATGGGCCCGTACCATAGAGACCAAGGGCAGCATCGAAATTTCTAATGTGTAATTTCAAAGTATGGGAGACTTTTAACAAACAAAAGTCCTAATGCCAAATTCCCTCTACCTAGTTGGTAGTTTTGATTTCTATAAAAATGTAATGCACATAAACATTTTTAGAGACAACAAATTGTGGGAGATTTTATAATCTCAACATTACCCCAAAGTAGGCGCAGTCTTGACACTCTTGCCAAATTGCCCTAGCTCGGGGCAGATTCTTATGGTATTTAAAATATATTTGAAGATCTTCTTTCTAGGTGGAAAGACATTAGAACAAATTAATCAGGTAGCATTTTTCAGTAAGTGGACAGGATATTCATTCATTCAACAAGCCTGAGTATTCCAATGTGGTGTAGGGAATTGGGGAGGCATGAAAAACAGCCTTCTGTTGGGGTGGTGTGTGATGGGGAGGTAAACAGAGGGCTATAAACAACCCTAAGTATAAAGCACAGATATGAACAGAGCTTTGACAGCATCTGCAAGGGCTGCTGGTAAATGCATAGATAAACTCATGAACACCGTCTCCCCAGAATAGTTCTGTAGTAGGTGATAAAACTGGCAGGAAAAAATGCTGGGGGATGACAGCCCCTCCCTTCTCTTTCCCCACCCTCTCCTTATCACAGCCATGGCCATACCAATCCTACTAAGAAATAACTGATAGATGGAAGGGAAATGTGGCACTCTGGACAACAAACCCACATCTAAGCCATTTGAGCAACACTCAAGTGGCATGCTCTGCCTCTGACATTACCTTTAACCTACTGCACAAGACTCTGAGATAGGAAGAGTTATGTAACTCTTTAAGAGCTAGAGATAAAGAAGGATTCAAAGTGCTGTTCGTTCTACATTCTCATTGTGTCGGAGACCTTAAGAAGTGGGGCACACATCTGCTAATGTCCCCGATATAAAGGACACCCAGGCCTCTGGAGTCAGCTTGCCAGCTTCACTCACTTCATCGGAGGAGCCTGGGCCACAGCAGCTGCGCCGACAGCAGAGCCCACGTGCTCTGGTGGAGAAGCCCGAGTGGCAACCTCCTTGCAGATTTCTGTGCCCTTATCTTCCTGCCCAGGACAATTCTTCATTTCTTTTATGTTAATATAGGCTATTTTTTCCCTTGTAACTTCAAAGATGTCTATTCTACTTTCAAATATGCTGCTGTAGTGAATGACTTCCATTTCTGTAGCTCTTCTCCTCTCCTGATAGATTATAAGTGGTCATTTCAGCATAAGAACTACAGCAACTCTGTCCTTTGCTATTTCCTCCAGGAAAAAAATAATTACATACACACACACACACACACACACACACACACACACACACATGAAGAAAGAAGGCCCTTGAGAAATGTTGTTCAGACTAGTTAAGGAACTAGAATAATAATCCAGAGCTTACCAAAAATATAGTATTGACCTAAATTGCTCTTCTAAAGGCTAACAGTCCAAAATTCCTTGGAAAAAGGTATGTACACTAACCAGCAACATACAGAAATGGTCAATTCCCCTCATCATCCTTATAGAATAAATCAGGAGGTTATAAAACTGCTGCCAAAAATTCATATTCACCCAAGAAGACATGATGGTTATGGATTAAGATTGTGTGCTATAGTGGTGGGTGGTCTAGGTGTAGTTCTTGGCTTTGTCGATTACAAACTATATGGCCTAAGGTAAGTTACTTAGCCTTTCTAGACTTCAGTTTCCTCATATGTTAAGTGAGTTCCTAATAGTAGTCAACTCCTATGATTTTTGTGAGATTAAATAAGATAATGTATAGAAACCTCTCAACAAATGCCTGATACATACAGAGTACTCAAAAAATGGTCGCTATTGTCAAAGCTCTTTTTACTTTGTAGAACCTTTTTGTATGCATTATTTTATTTGTTTCCCATGACAACTTCACATATTGGTTCCATTAAGCCTGTTGTATGGAGGAGGAAAGTGCGATTCCAAGGGTTTGAGTTATTTACTTGAGGTCAGGCAAAGAACAAGTGGCTCAAATAGGTGAGAAGTCACGCTTCCCGAGTCCCATCCCAGTGCTCTTTCCATTTTACCATGTGAGATCTCAGCGTAATTGGAACCCAAAGTAAACTATAGACAAATATTCTACATACAGCGTGATCTCTGGGGAAGAACTTTCCTGGAAGATATAGCCTATAGAGTCTGATTAAAATACTTGGCCAGGCTGAGTGCAGTGGCTCATGCCTGTAATCCCAGAGCTTTGGGAGCCCAGGGAGGGAGGACAGCTTGAGCCCAGGAGTTTGAGGCTGCAGTGAGCTATGGGTCACTGCACTCCAGCCTGGGCAACAGAGCAAGATCCTGTAAAAAAAAAATTTGGCCTGAAGAATATTTCAAAATTCATTTCCAAGATTAGTGGAATTCTGCAAAGATTATTGAGAATAACCTGTGGCCTTGGGGCCGCATGTGGCCTTCTGGATCCTTGAGTATAGCCTTTTGACTGAATCCAGATTTTACAGAACAAATCCTTTTTTTTTTTTTTTTTTTTTTTTTTTGAGACAGAGTCTCGCTTTGTTGTCCAGGCTAGAGTGAGTGCCGTGGCATCAGCCTAGCTCACAGCAACCTCACACTCCTGGGCTCGAGCGATCCTTCTGCCTCAGCCTCCCGAGTAGCTGGGACTACAGGCATGCACCACCATGCCCGGCTAATTTTTTTTTTATATATACATATCAGTTGGCCAATTAATTTATTTCTATTTATAGTAGAGACGGGGTCTCGCTCTTCCTCAGGCTGGTTTTGAACTCCTGACCTTGAGCAATCCGCCCGCCTCGGCCTCCCAGAGAGCTAGGATTACAGGCGTGAGCCACCGCGCCCAGCCAGAACAAATCCTTTTAATAAAGGGATTTGTTCTGTAAAGTTTGGATTTGCTCGAGGAGCCACATGTGCCTTGAGGCTGCAGGTTCCCCACCCCATTGTGGTTTTTAATTAATTACTCTATTTGTCTCAGAGAATTGTTTTATGTTTGGTAAAAATTCACTACTTATACTTTATCTCTAACCTCATAAATCATACAGGATTAGATCAATGTTTATATAATCTGGATTAATGATTTCCAAGGTTCCTCCCAATGTGGTGGCGGGCGGCTATAAGATCTTTGTAAAACATTAGGAGAAGAATATTTTCAAGAAAAGATGTTTAGTCAGAAATTCTCTGACCATCTCCTCATATTTGAAAATTTTTTATTTGATAATATCCATTTTTCCCCACAGGAAGTTGGCCCTTTTCTCATTCAACAGTTTAAATAAGCGCTACAATAGTGACACATGCAACCATAAGATATTTCTAAACTCTGAAACTAGATTTCACATTAGTGGCTTGATGAGAACAAAAATGTAAAACAGTACAAAACACGAACAATGTTACAATAGTTCAAAAAGGAAACAAATCAGATTGAGTGCAAAATAGTTTTTAATGTACCTTGAATCTCCAGCACTTGATGAAAAGCCTAGGAGAGGGGTCCTGCAAAGCCACACAGGGCCACCGAAGGGCTCTGAGCATTGAAGACTCTTTCTCTATTATGTCAAATACCTTGAGACCTGGGGGTTTTGTTTGTTTGCTTTCACTTATAACTATTGCTCTTAGGCTTAGCCATAATGTGGGCTATTTAAGGCCGGGCGCTGTGGCTCACGCCTGTAATCCTAGCTCTTGGGAGGCCGAGGCGGGCGGATTGCTCAAGGCCAGGAGTTCAAAACCAGCCTGAGCAAGAGCGAGACCCCGTCTCTACTATAAATAGAAAGAAATTAATTGGCCAACTGATATATATATAAAAAAAAAAAAATTAGCCGGGCATGGTGGCACATGCCTGTAGTCCCAGCTACTCGGGAGGCTGAGGCAGAAGGATCACTCAAGCCCAGGAGTTTGAGGTTGCTGTGAGCTAGGCTGACGCCACGGCACTCACTCTAGCCTGGACAACAAAGTGAGACTCTGTCTCAAAAAAAAAAAAAATAATGTGGGCTATTTAAAAATGTTTGAGTTATTTGATTTGTTGTCTTGGCTCAGAAAAAGAAAAATACCAAGGAGAATGAGAAGGGCTAGTTGAGATAAAAGAGAAGACATAGGAAGGATTTAGAAAGCAGAGGGCACTGGGATCATCTGCATGGCCATCCTAGAAAGCACTTGAGGAATGATGTTGGGTAGCATGTGTCTCTGTGTCGGCTCCCACTGGCTTATTTATTTTCCACTGGCCCAAAACAGGGGTAGAGAAACAGGGCCAGGGGGAAGAAGTCTGGGTGGTGGGGGAGGGGAGGCGGTTAGAGGTATGGTGTTGTAAGAAAGAAGTTCATAAATTGGGTGCCAAGCCTAAGAGAGGCCACAGATTTGAAATTTTCCCATCATCCTCTATGCTGTAAAAGATAAAATAGAAGAAAATATATTTTCTGAGATTTTCAGTTGAACATCAATACTTCTCTTTCTGAGAGCTTGAATACAACTTTAATGTGGGACTTTAAACCCATTTACTGAGTCTTGTCCTAAAACGGCTCAGTCCTTCAGAAGAAGATCATGTGCTTTGGGGACCCTGGGTGGCCGGGATTCTGTGTCATGGGCCTTTGCGGGACGCCAGGCTTGCGGTTGCCCCTACAAATCAGTGTAAGCTCAAATGGGACTCATTCTCACCCTGGATGAAGTGAGGTCAAGTTGGGAGGCCAACTCCTGTTTTCCATTCAAAAGTTAGATATTATAAGATCTACTGTCTTAGAAAATTTCAAATATACAGTACAGTATTATTAACTATAGTCACCATGCTGTGCATTGTATCTCCAGAACTTATTTATCTTACAACTGCAAGTTTGTACCCTGTGATCAACATCACCTCTTTTCTCCTAGCCCCTAGCCCCTGGCAACCACCCTTCTACTCTCTGCTTCTATGAGTTCAACTTTTTTAGTTTACACACTACACACACACACACACACACACACACACACACACACACACACAGAGTAATGAATGTGCTAATTAATTTGATTGTGGTAATCATTTCAAAATGTATGTCAAACCATCATGTAGTACACTTTGAGTATATACAATTTTTATTTGTTAATTTTACTTCAATAAAGCTGAGGGAGGAAAGCAGATATAAGTTGTTAGATCACTGGTTTTTCCATTTGCCCTTGCCACTTACACAGAAGATTAAGGGCTGACTTTAATCACATGGTTATTTTGAGTTATTGGGAGCATAGACTCACTCTCTTGAGAAAGCAATGTGCCAGAAGTTCAGGGTTTTCAGCACACTTTTCCAAGTCTTTTAGAAAAGTCCTGGGGAAATAAAAGTACACAGGTAATAATTTTTTGATTTTTACAGGTATAGGGTTAAAAACTTTTTAAAAAGTAAGATTGCATAAGGTTTTAAGAGGTGCTCAGAACAATGTTGTTCACTAGGCTTTATTGTTCTTATCTTCTACACACTAATTTGAAAGAAAAAGATGTATTCTTAGGTATTACTGATTACCCTGAAGCCACTGGTGGCTGTTCTGGTAATTCTAAACACTACCCACAGCCACACAGAATACACTGATGCTCCCCACCACACGATAATATAGATCATGAACTGCCACTGCTGCTGCTGTGACTAATATCACTGAGAGCTTACTCTAAGCCAGGCTAAGTGCCTCACAACTAATATCTCATGTAATCCTCAACCAAACCCTTCATTTCAGTTTTCTGTCTGGACAAAGGATGGGGTTAGGGAACAACTGTGGTTCATTTCACCAAACACTCTTTACCCCTTCATGAATTGGGTGTGATAAAGTGAGTCAACAAGTTACCATCTCCACATGTGTAAAATGAAAGGGGTTGGAAGATGATTTCCAAAGTCCCTTCCCTTACAGTTCTCTAGAACTCAACAGCCAAGCAGCCCTGAGTTAAAAGTATGACTTGTTTGGCCAGTTAGCATTTTCTAACACCCTAGTTTCCAGCATCATCCTATGATAATGCTATGTGGACATGTGTCTTGGTCATTGTTGCATTCCCAATGCTGAGCACAGTGCCTGGCACAGAATAGGTGCTCAATAGATGCTGACCCATGAATAAACAAACAAGCAAAGGAACAGTCAACATGCATACCTGACACCAAGTGCATGTCTCTGACATCTTTTTCCCTCTTCCTCAGAGAGCCTGTGGAGCTTCTCCCATCCTTCTTACCCTATCCCACCCCAACCCAATCTATTTGCTTAAGCCTGTAAACATTTAAGGACCTTCATTTCCAAATTCCATCTGCCTGATTTCCACCCCTCTCTTATTTCCCATTTTTCTGACAATGTGAATTACTAAATACCTGTTGTGAAATTCATAAATTTCTCTAATATTCCCAAAGAGAAAGTCTTTGTTATTCTGAAGAACATCCGGAATTAGATGCTTCAGCCAAATATAATCCATTGGAGTGATATATCCCTGCAGAAGTAGAAACAAGGTAGGTTTTACAGATAAGAACATATAAGAGATCATTTGAATTAGCTATTCCAGAAACCAAAACGTTAGTAAAATAATTGGGGAATACAGCACACATGTTTCCTGAAAGCTATTCTGTCAAATACTTTCTTTTGATATCATTTTCCTCATATGTCCATCTTTAGGAGATGGCTTAATGGAAATGATAATAAAATGTAATTTTATTGGAAGAACAAATATATTTTTAAATGTTTATAAGTTATACAAGTCCAATGTGAAAGAAAGGAAAAAATCTTACCCATGATTTTATGACCTGATGCAATGACTATTATGTTTTATTATATTTCTTTCATGACTTTTAAAAAACTCATTGTACATGGTTATAACCATAATACATAATATAATTTTGATTACTTTTTCATGTATGACTTAGATTCAGCTTATAAGTTCTACATATATTATTTTAAATTTAATCTTATATCAGGAGCATTTTTCAATGTTGCTACATATCATCTAAAAGCAATTATCTTTTAATAGCTGAATGATGTTTACTTAGCATATATATCATACTTTATTAAATGATCCCTTTTTTATTAGACATATGGGTTACTTCTGATATTTTATTGTAAAATAGTATAAATAATTTTGTACACATATTTTTTTCCTGAAAATTATTCCTTTAGGAAAAGAAGGAAAATATATATATTCACTCTTAAGAAAAAAGGCTCCTTTAAAAATTGAGAAATAATCTTCCTTTATTAAAGTATCAAAGACTCTTACATTATAATATTCTTTGTTGGCAAGCATATGGTGAACCTAGTTGGGCACTGCTGGAATCAGTATGAATTGGCATGATTCTTTGGAAGTCATTTGGCCACACAGATCAAGAACCATAAGAGTGTTCTTATTCCTACTAGAGAAACACTTGTGATGTTATAAGATCTGAAACTTTGGTGGGAATTCTAGAGAAATACGGCAACTATTTTGAGTCTCTTTGTATCACAAAACTTCTCCAGTTTGAATCTATGCTTGAGACCCACTCCCCACATCTACTTACATCAATTATGCTTTTAATTTCTTTTATATAAATCTCTTCAGTCTCAAGCAAGTCATGTATAATGCGCCTGAATCGCAGCAGCAGGTGAGAGGTTGAAAGAGAGAGAGAGAGACAGGGAGGGAAGAGCACACTTTTAGAATTCTTTTAAAATAATGCTCATCAATACAGTAGTGGCTGAGCTACTTAGGTTCTGGTCAGTTCATTCTGTTCTATTGAACACACACGGCCAGCATCTCACGAAAGCACACTGTGGTCACACTGGTAGAAGAAACAACAAGTTTAGAGGACCCATAATCCATTAGCATAACCTGCCCTCTGGGTGGGCCATAGAGTGTCAGGGCCAAGAAGGCAGACATTGGGGTCAAAAACACCAGGTTTGGATCCATGGTCAAGGAAGGTCTGCCTGACCCCTACCTGCATTATGCATGTGGTTTCCTATATTTTCTCTCCAGTTTTCTGCTGTTGCATTGCTCACATCAAGATCTTTGACCCACAGGGATATATTTTGCTGTACCTGGGGTTAGATGTGTGCTAGATTCTTCCTCTGGCATTAGATGTCTCACTGCGATTTCCTAAGCCAAGAAATATGAGGTTTGCACACTTCCCTCAACAATGGCAGGTGGAGGGTGTGGTGGGCAGAATTTCTAAGATGGTCCCCAAGATTCCTGGCCCCTGGTATGTATGCACCTCTTCCACGTTGGTCAATCAAACACCAATTCAGGTTCTGCTATAAAGGGATTGTGCTGTTCAGTTGACATTAAGATAGGTAATCCAGTTGGGCCTGTCCTAATCACATGAACTGAGATCTGGATCCAGAGGTCACAGAGATTCAAAGCCCAAGAAGGATTTAACACAAGGAGATTCCCTTTTGCTGACTTTTGAGATGGAGGGGCCATGTGGCAAGGAATGTGGGCAGCCTCTGGGAATGCTGTTGGTTTTCTATTGCTGTATAAACACTATAGATTTAATAGATTAGCTCACAGTGTCCCTGGAACAGGAGCCCCAGCACAGCAGGACTAGGTTTTCTGCTCAAAGTCTCATAAAGCTAAAATCAAGATGTTTGGCTGGCCACGTTCTCATGTGGAGCTCTGGACCCTCTTCTAAGTTCATGTGGTTTAGAAGGAGTCAGTTCCTTAGCAGGACTGAGTTCCCTGCTTCCTCACTGCCTGTCAGCAAGAGTGAGGCCAGTCCCCATATCTATCCCAGACAGATCGTTTTCTTTCTCTCATTAGCCAATATGGCCACATTTATGCTTTCTTTCAGAGCTCCAAATACGTAAGTGTTTATACAAGTGTTCATGTGTAGAATACATACATATATGGTTTCTTGTGAACTGTTGGTGGATTATCTATTAAATGATAGCCTCTCTCAGAAAAGCATTTCTTTTTTTTTTTTTTTTCACAAAAATGGATATGGCAAGTGACAAAAAAAATCCAACAGAAAAAAAAGGGGTCGGGGAAGGATACAAAATAGGAAATTTATGAAAATATACAAGTGACTATTATGAAAAAAATGCTCAATACACACATTCAAGAAAGGCATATTGAAAAGGAGTAACACTTTTTATCTACTAGAATGGCAAAATTTCAAACTTCAAAGAAAGACTGATCGATGAGGATGAGGAAACACCCTCCAACAATATTGGTAGAAGTGTCAATTTGTGCAAGCTCTTTGGAAGGTAATTTGGAAATATCTCATCAAAATTTAAAACACATGCTCCTTGACTCAGTAGTTTCTAAGAAGGTTCATTGTTTGCAATTGGAACAATAGATCAACATCTGTAACAATAATCAGGTACAAGCTGGAAATTACTTAAGTGCTCATCAAAAAATCATGGCACAGACATATAATGAAATGTCATTTAAATGTCATTTAAATGTCTTGTTAAAAAGAATGAGGCTGATTGAAACATGCTGATATGACAGAGCCCAGGTCTTTTAAGTGAAAAAAAAAAAAACAAGATGTAGAACAGTAGGCAAACTATGACTATTTGTATACAAACGAGTGTGTATGTATAAATCTACGTAAAATTGTACATGCTTAAAAAATTTATGCAAACAAACTTTTAAGACATTGTTAACAGTGATTGTTTTTGGAGAGTGATAGTGAAGGCTAAAATATGAAGAAGTAGAATTTCTACATTTTACTGCACACCTTCTACAATGTTGTATTTTTTAAAAAATGAAACATTTACTGCTTTTATAATTTAAAAAAATGGTTTACATGACATTTTAAAATGTTACTGAAGGTAATAACATGTAAACTCCATTTGAGAGATATAAATAAATCATACAATTTGCATATTTTATAGCTCAACAATGACTTCAAATGACCATTTTTATATAAATGCTTATTATAAGACAAGACTGATAAAGACTGATAAAGGAGATGCATTGACAGAGGATACAATTTCTAGGAGTGTGAAGACTACCAAAAAGTTACTTTAAGATCATATTTAGCTAAGAGTCACTGAGAAAGAGGTTCCTGTGCTTTTTATAAATCATCCTACAATGACAACAGTTGCTATGTCAGAAGGAAATACAAGCCTCCACACCAATATGTTTCCATGAGCCTTGACATCAAGCAGGACCACAGCAGCAGTTTGGCATTCACAGAAAACCCAAGTTCAATCGGCCTCTTATGCCTCATGAAGCATTGGTCTTAAGCAACTTGGCAAATCGGCTTAAGAATGTATTGACGATTAAATGAAGTCAGAGGGCAGAAATAACTAGAATGTGGGCAGAAATAAATTTTATTATTCAATAATTATGTAGGAACTTAAGATACTCTTTGGAGCTTTCAGGAATCCGACACAGGAAAATATTCACAACTCAGAAGGGAAAAAAAAGCCCTTATCAGGTTCATATCCCAGCTTGTAGTTTGGAAAATACCCTAAAGATCTCATCCAACTGCTTGATTTTACCTGCTGGAGTGTAACACATGAAACTCCAATGATAGGAATTCCTTTGGACACTGGCTGCCCACATCTCAGTTCAGATTAACATGTAAATTAAAAATAGCTCTTACACCTAAGCCATTGTTCTTTCTTTCTTCTCCTGTATTCCCTTCAAATAGCTTTTTAAAATAGGAGAGAATTTATGACTCTTAAGCCTGCCTTAGTATTCCAAAGCATGTTCATAAAAGAAAGACTCTTAAGGATTTATCATCTAAAATCATCAAGCATTTATAACACAGATGAACACCCAGAAAACAATGGGAGTACTCAGGTAATTTAAAAAATTTTAAGCACCTACAGCAATTTATGTCTTAATGGATATCTACCAAGAGATGGAGGACTGTAATTAGGACACCAAATGGAGTTTATGACGCTTGAGCAGCCTGCGCTAATGTACTGTGCACTAGTGTACATTGTAGCCTTTGTTTTACATTTCGAAATAGACCCCACCCCCTTAAGTCTTAAGGGGAAAATGGAGACATAATGTGATTGATTGATTCTTTTTGAGACAAGAGTCCCACTCTACTCCTCAGGCCAGAGTGCAGTGGCACGATCCTAGCTCACTGAAGCTTCAAACTCCTGGGCACAAGTGATTCTCCTGCCTTAGCCTCCCAAAGTGCTCAGATTCCAGGCGTGAGCCAGTGCACCCTGCCCCATTTAAAGGAATGTTTCTTCTCTGAAGTCATAATTCACTCTAGCATGAAAACAGAGCTTTGGTATCTGGTTCCATTCTGTATAACACCTTATATTGTTTCAGATGATGCCATAACCAAAGGGCAAGAATGGAAAGAATGTCTTTTAAAAAATGAATGTAACCCTGTTTGGTAAGCAAGATCATTAAAGCAGATACACGTTAGGATTTCCTGATAAGTGCCTGTGCTCCTTAATCTGCCCCCTCCTTTAAACTGTTGCCACTACCTCCACTGTCCCCCTTTCTTAACTCTCCGACATAGAAAGAGTGTTCTTTGAGGAACCAGCCCATCAGAAGTCTATGCTCTTATTGTCAACAAAATTTGACACCAAGAGTTTTCATTTACTTCTGCTATCCTATCACATCGCACATTTCAGAAAGTATTATAGATTTTCGCTTTTTAAAAACCCAAACTCAGTCTCTTGTCTCATGCTGTTGACTCTCCCACATCTTATCTTCCTCCCAGACCTTCAGTCATGCTTGGGCCCACGCTGCCAAGGGCCGACATGGTCTTCACTCGGATGCCTCCCAGACACCCCAATCACGTCAAGTTGAATTAGAGTTCGTTAGATGGAAATAGCATGTGTGTCAGTGGAACTACCATTTTTTTAGGGTCCCTAAAACACAGTTGCTTCAAATCATCCCCTATATTCAGTCTGTCACCAAGGCCCCTCATTTCATCCCTCAGCGCCTTGCGGGGTGACTGCTGACTCTCTACTTCCGGGGCTGCCAACACAGAGCAAGCCCTCAATTCCTCTCACCTTGAAGACTTTGGTGCATTCCTAGGATGCACCCTTGCCTCTGGGATCCTCTGGGATCTCTCTTTCACCAATCTATTTTGCAGGCCAGCAGGCTATGCCCTTTCCAAAGCTCCATTTCCATCACGTCATCCTTCTGCTTCTTCAAGAACATGCCCACAAAATGCCAAAGCTCCCTCCTGGGGTTTGAGACTTTCCATTTATGTGAAAAGAATCTTTTAAAGGAGCTTTCTGTAAAGGTAAATTTACACATTCAGAATCTGTAATCTTCACAAGCACCCTGGATGACTCTAAGGCAGATGGTCTCCTATTCAACTAAGCGGCACTGATCTGACCACTCCTTTCAGTTACACTCCCCCACCCTTTAGTGGGGACAGTGGCATCACTCTTTTCCACTTCCTTTCAAATTCTAATCATCCTTAAGGACTCCAACAGTGTCAGATGAAATCAGTACCACAATCTTGTCCTTGTCCTTGCCCACACCAAAACCACGACATTTATTTACGAGACACCTATTGACTCCCTACTATGAACCAGGCTCCAAGACAGGCACTTGGGATAGAGAAATGTACCATAATCCTGACCTTAGTAATTTCCTAGTCTAATGGAAAAGATAAGAAAATCAATGGCTCCAATGAGTGTGCTAAGCTAACAGGGTAGTC